AGGGCCGGTGCCTGCAGCCCTGCCCTGGGCAGCCTGTTCCAATGCCTGAGCACCCTCTGGGGCAGGAATTGTTCCTCAGCTCCATCTAACCCTGCCCTGGTGCAGCTTGAGGCCGGTTCCTCTTGTCCCATCCCTTGTTCCTTGGGAGCAGAGCCCAGCCCCTCCTGGCTCCATCCTCCTGTCAGGCAGTTGGAGGCAGCCATCAGGTCCCCCCTGAGCCTTCTCTTCTCCATCTGAACCCCCCAGGTCCCTCAGCCCTTCCCCATCACCCCTGTGCTCCAGGCCCTGCTCCAGCTCCATTCCCTTCTCTGTCCCCGCTCCAGCCCCTCAATGTCTCTCTTGCAGTGAGGGGCCCAGAGCTGAGCACAGGATCCGAGGTGCAGCCTCACCAGTGCCCAGCACAGGGGCACAATCCCTGCCCTGGCCCTGCTGCCGCACTGGTGCTGGTACAGGCCAGGATGCTGGGGGCTTCCTGGCTGCCTGGGCACAAGCTGCTCATGTTCAGCTCCATCCCTCAGCACCCCCAGCTCCTGTTCCATGGGCAGCTTTCAGCCTGGAGCACTGCAGGGGGTTGTTGTGGCCCATGTGCAGGATGCTCCCTGTTGTACACTGGAAGCACAAAGCAGAGGAGTGGGCAGCTGTTGGCAGCAGCACACACTGACCTTTCCCTGCCTCCTGGAGCAGGTTTCCCGAGTGGGCCGCTCGCCTCTTCGGTGCCATTGCCTCGCGGTGCCCATGGTGGGGAGGGCAGGGCTGGCCTGACAACCCCCAGCATTGTGCTCCGGCCCCGTGGACGCTGGGCACTGACCTTTCCCCATGAAAAGCTGCATTCATCCCTCCTGGCAGCCTCCCCTCAGCGTGTTCTCCCTTTGTCCTGGCAGTGGGCATTCGGCGTCACCATGTGGGAGATCGCCACGCGGGGCAAGACGCCCTACCCAGGGGTGCAGAACCACGAGATCTACGAGTACCTCCTGCATGGGCAGCGCCTCAAGAAGCCCGAGGACTGCTTGGATGAGCTGTGAGTCCTGCACCCCCTTCCTGGCTGTGGCACCCCCCTGCAGGTGACCTGGGCATCGCTGGTCCTCAGCTGCCCTGCCTGCTCTGGCTGCTGTTGGTGCCTCTTGGTTGCTGATGTCCTTTCCTTGAGCACACAGCGACTGCGCTGGGGTTTGTGGCTTGGCACTGAATGGGCCTAAAAGGGCGCAGTGGAGCATCTCCCTTATGAGGAGAGGCTGAGGGAGCTGGGTCTCTATAGTTTGGAGAAGAGGAGACTGAGGGGTGACCTTATTAGTGTATATAAATATATAAAGGGGGAGTGTCCCGAGGATGGAGCCAGGCTCTTCTCAGTGGCAAACAATGAAAGGACAAGGGGCAATGGGTACAAACTGGAGCACAAGAGGTTCCACTTAAACCTGAGAAGAAACTTCTTCTCAGTGAGGGTGACGGAACACTGGAACAGGCTGCCCAGGGAGGCTGTGGAGTCTCCTCTGGAGACATTCAAGGCCCACCTGGACACGTTCCTGTGTAACCTTATCTAGGTGTTCCTGCTCCGGCAGGGGGATTGGACTGGATGAGCTCTTGAGGTCCCTTCCAATCTCTAACATACTGGGATACTGTGAACACAGAGCAAGGAAAACCGAGCCAGCATCCCAGTGCTGCGAACCTGCCTCTCCGAGGGGAGTGAGATGGGTTTGCACCAGGGAGGGGGTCACATTCCGCCTCCCCCCCTCCATTTCTCCCAGAGCCCTCAGAAATAACTGGCACTGAAGCCTGGATTTAACACCAGATGGCAAGGGTTTATCCTTTTGTTCCTTGTGGGGTGCACAGCAGGATGCTTATGAGAGCACGCAGAGGTGTGGGACACCTTTAAACTCAAAAGTATCACAGAAACGAAACCTTCAAACCCCTTAATGTTTGCATGAACCTCCCGATTCCTGTCCCAAAGGGAAGGCAGATGTAGAGCAGGGAAGGGAGGGAAAAGCCCCTTCGGTGCAGGCAGCGGTCCCAGCGGGCGGGAGGACGGGCTGGGTTTGCAGTAGTGTCACCGCGCTGGCGCTGCGGGACGGGCGCACCGCCCTCTGCAGTCGGTGCTCGGAAGCGGACTCTTCACGATCCCCTAGGCCAGGTCTTGGCTCTTCCCTGAGCCACCGCCGTGCCTCTGCTTGGGCAGCCCCGGCAGTGCCTAAACCCTCGGATCGGGAAGGGGAAAGCGCGGAGAGCTCAGAACAGGGCACGCCTGAGCCGCTCACAGAGGGGTTTATCCCAGGCTTTCATTGGTGCCATTGAAGCCGGGGATGTTTCATCCCCCCCACCCAGGGCTGTGAGCTGCAAATGGAACAGGTCAACAGGCAAAGGTGCTGGGGTTGCAGTGTTCCTGAAAGGCCCCTGTCCCTAAAGGAAGCTGTGGAGAAACCTTGTGCCCAGCACTGGGAGCTCCCAGTGTGTCCCAGCATCCAGCTTGGGATAGGGCAGCCACAGCTTCTCTGGGCACCCTGTGCCAGGGCCTCAGCACCCTCACAGGGAAGAGCTTCTGCCTAAGAGCTCAGCTCAGTCTCCCCTCGGGCAGGTTCAAGCCATTCCCCTTGTCCTATCACTACAGGCCCTGATGAAGAGTCCCTCTCCAGCATCCCTATAGGCCCCCTTCAGACACTGGAAGCTGCTCTGAGGTCTCCACGCAGCTTCTCTTCTCCAGGCTGAGCAGCCCCAATGTTCTCAGCCTGGCTCCATACAGGAGGTGCTGCAGCCCCTGAGCATCCTCATGGCCTCCTCTGGACTTGCTCCAACAGTTCCATGTCCTCACATTGAGGACCCCAGCACTGCACACAGGGCTGCAGGGGGGGCTCCCCAGAGCACAGCAGAGGGGCAGGATCCCCTCCCTGAGCTGCTGCTCACGCTCTGGGGGTGCACCCAGCACATGGGGGGTTCTGGGCTCAAGCGCTCACTGAAGCCGGGTCATGGGGAGCTTCCATCTCCCAGCACCCCAAGTCCTGTTTAATGCAGAGCAGCTCAGGGCTTGCCCAGTTCGGATCGCCATCGGGGATAAGCCCCGTACATCCCTACCCCTGCACCCGGCAGCATCCCCCCGGTAACCGCTCTCCTCTCCCATTCCCAGCTATGACATCATGTCTGCGTGCTGGAGAGCCGACCCCGCCGCCCGCCCCTCGTTCCCGCAGCTGAAGGCTCACCTGGAGAAGCTGCTGGAAAACCTGCCGGCCCTGCGGAGCCCCGGGGCCGCCATCTACATCAACACCGGCCTGCCCGGGGACAGCCCGGACTCCACGCAGGACTCGGGCTTCCCCCAAGCGGACTCGGACCTGGAGGCCGGGGACGGGTCGGAGCCCGGCTCCCCCGGCGCGGAGGCGGCGCTGGTGGCTGTGGATGTGCATCACCAGCAGCGGGAGCCCTGCGGCACCAGGTACGTCCTGGAGGAGCCGCTCGCTGGCCCCGGGGAGGACTCCTATGTCCCATTGCTGCCCGGGGGGCCCGGCTCGGCGTGGGCACAGGGCAGCCCCCTGCCCGCCGGCTGCGGGGGGGACTCTGGGGTGCTGCTGTGAAGGGAGCGGGGTGAGGGTGGCATCCAGGAACGGGACCCAGGGTGTGTGTGAATAAACACGAGTCTGTTTTATAGATCATCTCCTGCATGGTTTTCATGGAGGAGGCTGGGCCGGGGGATTGCGATTGGAGTCACAGAACCCCAGACTCGGTTGGGTTGAAGGGGCATCAAAGCTCCTCCAGCTCCAACCCCTGCCATGGCAGGGACCCCTTCCACTGGAGCAGCTTGCTCCAAGCCCCTGTGTCCAACCTGGCCTTGAGCACTGCCAGGGATGGGGCAGCCACAGCTTCTCTGGGCACCCTGTGCCAGCGCCTCAGCACCCTCACAGGGAAGAGCTTCTGCCTAAGAGCTCAGCTCAGTCTCCCCTCAGGCAGGTTCAAGCCATTCCCCCTGGCCTGTCCCTGCAGCCCCTGATGAGATGAGGGCAGTAAACGCTGTAGCTGCTTGTCTGTAGTGAGCGGCTCTGGTACCCGAGCTCCCCACGGCTCACAGGGAAGGGGCAGCCGCTGACCCGTCCACAGCGGGGCTGGAGGGTGCTGAGGGGTGGGAGCACACGGTGGGCACCCATGAACTGCCCTGTCCCACCCTGCTGGAAACCGTCGGTGCTATTGCAACGATGGGAAAGGGGAGCCCGAGGGGGGTGCGGAGCCGCCCTGCGTGGCCCGGCCCTTCCCCGCTGCCCCTTCCCCTTGCTGGGGACGTTTCGGCTCTTCCCATAGCAGGGGCTGTTCTGCAGCACCCGGCACCGCGCCGTGCCCAGCAGATGGAGCCGGGACCCCGCGCTCCGCCCGGTGCGGCTGCCGCTGCCTCTGCCGCGGGGAGCGGGGATGCGAACGGGTGCAGGGGGTGGAAATGGGGGTGCAGGGGGTGGAAATGGGGGTGCAGGGGCTGGCGAGGAGTGTGAAGCGCTGGGGAACGCGGTGCCGGGCTGGGAAAGGGCTGCAGGGGCTGGGAAGGGGGGAGTCGAGTTGGAGGTGCGGGATGCAGGGGCTGGGAAAGGGGTGCAGGGGTGGAGAAGGGGGTGCAGCGACTGGAAATGGGGGTGTCGAGTTGGAGGTGCGGATGCAGGAGCTGGAAATGGGGCTGCAGGGGCTCGGGAGAGGATGCCGGGCTGGGAAGGAAGGGGTGCAGGGGCTGAGGGTGCGGGATAAGGGGTACCTGGGCGGGAGGGATGCGGCTGCAGGTGGGGCTGCAGGGGCTGGGCAGGGGCTCCCGGCCCGTCCGGAGCCGCCGTCGCTCTCCCGCCCGGGCCGCGCTGCGGCGGCTTTCCTGGGTCCCCCCAAACGGGCACCGGGGCGGGGGGGCCGCGCGTGTGTCCGGATGCGCGGGGAGGTCCCGGGGGTCCCGCAGCATCCCCGGGCAGGGCCGGGCCGGGGCGGGGGAGGCGCCTCCTCCTGGCGCGGCGCGGGGCGGGAGCGGCGCCCGGGACAGCCCCGCCTGGGCACGGAGCGCGCCGGCCGCCGGACCATGCCCGGGCCGCGGGGCCGCCCCCCGCTGCCGCCGCCGCTGCTGCCGCCGCTGCTGCTGCTGCTGCTGCTCCCGGCCGCGCCGGCCGCGCAGGTGAGCGGGACCCCAGGGCTGCGGCTCCCGTCCCTTCCCCCCGCTCCCCACGGGAGGTCCCCGCCGGGCCCCGGAGCTCTTCCTCTCCTCCCACCCCACACCTGCATCGCCCCCGGGCGCACCGGGACCAACCCCCCCCCTCGGTTCTATGGGAGAGCGGGGTCTGTGCTGCTGCTGCTCAGCATCCCGCCGGGAGCTCCCGCCGGCCCCGGACCTGAACCGCCCCTAACAAAGAGCCCTTCATTAAAGCCCGCACTCGCCCCGCACCTCTTCGCCTCTGCCTCCCTTCCCGTGCCGCGGGCACCCGGAGCTGCTGGCACAGACGGGCTCATCCCCGCCCGCAACCTGTGAGCCCCAACAGCACCGAGGGGAGCGGAGCCCGGCGCCGGGGCTGGATCCTGCTCCCGCTCCGTAACCCCGGGAGCTGTTGGGAACGAGAGTAACCGTGGCTGAGGGGGGGAATGGAACCCCTCGGGCCAGGAGAGCTCCTGCGCTCCAGCCTCATCCCACCCTCACCAAACCCCGGGCGCGCTGTGAGTGTCTGAGCCCCGGCTTCGCTCATCCCTTGCTCCTTTCCTCCCTTTGAAGCCAGTCCCACAGGGAAACCCACGCTAACGGTGCCCATGGGCATGAGTCAGCCCGTGGCAGCGGTCGCGGTGCAGGCAGGAGGCCCACGAGCGCCCTGGCCCCGGCCGAGCTCACAAGACAGCTCTTTTCCCCTCGGTGTGTCATGTGCAAGCGGGAGCTCCAGCGGGATGAACGCGGGCGCCAGCATCCATCCCGCAGAGCGGTCACAGCCCCCGTGGGGATGCCGAGCCCCGGGATAAAGCCGCTCCTGCAGGCGGGGAGGGGAAGGATGGAGCGGGGTCTGCGGGGGTGTTTGATGCCCTCTGTCCCCGCAGAGCTGCCTGAGCAGGCAGCAGCTCCTGGCCGCCATCCGGCAGATGCAGCAGCTGCTCAAGGGGCAGGAGACGCGCTTCGCCGAGGGGCTGCGCCTGATGAAGAGCCGGCTCAGCACCCTGCACGCCTCCCTGGCCAAGGGACCGGCCGCGGCGCTGCCCGGTGAGTGCCCGCCTCACACCGGGAGCTGCGGGACACCGGGGCGGGCGGCTCGGGGTGCGCGGGGTGGGGATGGGGATTTCTCCATTCGAATCAGAGCGCTTCCAGCCTGGCAATGTGGGGAGGTGAAAGGGCCAGAGCTGCACAGGGGGGACCGGCTGCAAAGCTGGGTTCGAACTGCAACAGGGGAAGCTCAGGTTGGAGATAAGGCAGAAGCTCTTCCCTTGTGAGGGTGCTGAGGCGCTGGCACAGGGTGCCCAGAGAAGCTGTGGCTGCCCCATCCCTGGCAGTGCTCAAGGCCAGGTTGGACACAGGGGCTTGGAGCAAGCTGCTCCAGTGGAAGGGGTCCCTGCCCATGGCAGGGGTTGGAGCTGGAGGTGAGGGGGCTGGAAAACCATATCCCCAGCAATAGAGGTGTCAGAAATGCCACCAAGCCCCTTGCCAGGGATGCTCAGCCCCAGCCTCTCTGCTGGGCTCTCCTGTGGGGCTGGAGAGAATCACAGAATGAATCAGGTTGGAAAAGCCCTTTAAGCTCACCCAGTCCAACCCTTACCCCAGCACTGCCAAGGCCACCCCTAACCCATGGCACTGAGGCCTCGTCTCCACGGGGTGTGAACACTTGCAGGGCCGGTGCCTGCAGCCCTGCCCTGGGCAGCCTGTTCCAATGCCTGAGCACCCTCTGGGGCAGGAATTGTTCCTCAGCTCCATCTAAACCTGCCCTGGTGCAGCTTGAGGCCGGTTCCTCTTGTCCCATCCCTTGTTCCTTGGGAGCAGAGCCCAGCCCCTCCTGGCTCCATCCTCCTGTCAGGCAGTTGGAGGCAGCCATCAGGTCCCCCCTGAGCCTTCTCTTCTCCATCTGAACCCCCCAGGTCCCTCAGCCCTTCCCCATCACCCCTGTGCTCCAGGCCCTGCACCAGCTCCATTCCCTTCTCTGTCCCCGCTCCAGCCCCTCAATGTCTCTCTTGCAGTGAGGGCCCAGACTCATCAATGAACCTCAGCAGGTCACTGCTCAGAGGAGATAACTGTTAGAGAAGAACCGGGTGCACTGTGGCTCGGGTAGAGTTGGGGATGGAAAGATGATGGTGTTGGTCCCCAAAGCACCACCTGAACGCGATCCCTCTCCCTGTTGTGTCCCTGCAGCCTCCTGCCCTGCCCTGCAAGCCCCTGCGGATGGGAAGAAGTTTGGCACCAAGTACCTGGTGGAGCACGAGGTTCACTTCGCCTGCGACCCCGGCTTCCAGCTCCTGGGCTCCAGCACCAGGACGTGCCAGGCCAACGGCAGCTGGACCGGGCAGGAGCCCCGCTGCACAGGTACTGCCCCAGCGCTCAGCTGCAGGACAGGGGGGAACTGGGACACGGGGAGGCCACTGGGGTCCACCAACGGGGAGCTACTGCAGCTGTCCTGGGGTCCTGGTTAGTCCAGGGATGCTGCAGCTCCTGTGGCCGCTGCTTTGGTGCTTCTCGTGCTCGAGGAAAGGTGGAAGTTGCAGGTGGAGCATCACCTGCAGCACAGCAGAGATGATGGAGGGGGAAAGGCATCAGTGCCATCGGGGCTTCTTTGCAGCAGGGCAGCACTGGAAACAAACAGTGCGTGGGTTTGGGAAATCCCAGAACCCCAGCCTGGGTTGGGTTGAAGGGAGCTTAAAGCTTTTCCAGTCCCAACCCGTGCCATGGGCAGGGACCCCTTCCACTGGAGCAGCTTGCTCCAAGCCCTGTGTCCAACCTGGCCTTGAGCACTGCCAGGGATGGGGCAGCCACAGCTTCTCTGGGCACCCTGTGCCAGCGCCTCAGCACCCTCACAGGGAAGAGCTTCTGCCTAAGAGCTCAGCTCAGTCTCCCCCTTTCACCCTGAAGCCAGGCGGTTCTCAGGTGCTGAAGGGTACCAGTGTGTGCAGCATCCCTGTGGCTTGCTTCCCGAAGCACATTGAAATGAACCATGGATTCTCTTTCCATTGCAGAGATCAGTGAGTGCTCGAGCAGCCCCTGCCAGAACGGGGGCACGTGCCTGGAGGGGCTCAACCAGTTCAAGTGCCTCTGCCCGCAGCAGTGGACCGGGGCCACCTGCCAGTACCAGGCACAGACGGGTGGGTGACCCCGCGGGTGGGTGACTCCGGGTGCCTCCTGTCACCCCCGTCACTGAACCCCATCCCACCCTGTGTGCCCCCAGCTCCTCCTGCCTGGAGCGTCACGGATGACCCGGCCTTCAGCCGCCAGCCCCGCTGTGCCCAGATCGACCAGACCCAGCACTGCAGCTGCGAGCCCGGCTTCCACATGAGCGGCACCGCGGCCACCGGCCTCTGCCAGGGTGAGCTCTGCACTGGGATGGGGATGGGGATGGAGGGGATGGGGATGGAGGGGATGGGGATGGTGGGGATGGGGATGGAGGGGATGGGGATGGAGGGGATGGAGATGGAGGGGATGGGGATGGAGGGGATGGGGATGGGGGAGATGGGGATGGAGGGGATGGGGATGGAGGGGATGGGGATGGTGGGGATGGGGATGGGGATGGAGGGGATGGGGATATGGGGATGGGGATGGGATGGAGAGGATGGGGATGGGGTGATGGAGAGGGGATGGGGATGGAGGTGGGGAAGGGATGGGGATGGGAGGGGATGGGGATGGAGGGGATGGGGATGGAGGGGATGGGGATGGAGGGGATGGGGATGGAGGGGATGGGGATGCAGGGGATGGGGATGCAGGGGTGGGGATGGAGGGGATGGGGATGGAGGGGATGGGGATGGAGGGGATGGGGATGGAGGTGATGGGGATGGAGGGGATGGGGATGGAGGGGATGGGGATGGAGGGGATGGGGATGGAGGGGATGGGGATGGAGGGGATGGGGATGGAGGGGATGGGGATGGAGGGGATGGGGATGGAGGGGATGGGGATGGAGGGGATGGGGATGGAGGGGATGGGGATGGAGGGGATGGAGGGGATGGGGATGGAGGGGATGGGGATGGAGGGGATGGGGATGGAGGGGATTGGGATGGAGGGGATGGGGATGGAGGGGATGGGGATGGAGGGGATGGGGATGGAGGGGATGGGGATGGAGCGGATGGGGATGGAGCGGATGGGGATGGAGGGGATGGGGATGGAGCGGATGGGGATGGAGGGGGTGGGGATGGAGAGGATGGGGATGGAGGGGACGGAGAGGATGGGGATGGAGGGGATGGGGTCTCACCTCTGCAGCCCTCGTCTCTCCGCAGACCTCAATGAGTGTGAGGTGTACAAGCGGGACGGGGGGCCCCGGCTCTGTGCTCACGCCTGTGTCAACCTGCCCGGCTCCTACCGCTGCGCCTGCCCCGGGGGGTACGTGCTGCTGGGCGATGGCAAGAGCTGCGAAGGTGAGGAGGGCAGCAGGGAAACGTGCCCTGTCCCAGCTTCCACAACCGCTGCTTTCTGTCCTTAACCCAGTTTTCTACTTCTTCACAAGCATTTCCGTGTGTGGGAATCTTGGTGGGATTGCACAGGGAGATGGTGTCCAGGTGGGGAGGAAAATCATCACAGGATCCCAGCCTGGTTTGGGTTGAAGGGACCTGAAAACTCCTCCAGCTCCAACCCCTGCCACGGGCAGGGACCCCTTCCACTGGAGCAGCTTGCTCCAAGCCCCTGTGTCCAACCTGGCCTTGAGCACTGCCAGGGATGGGGCAGCCACAGCTTCTCTGGGCACCCTGTGCCAGCGCCTCAGCACCCTCACAGGGAAGAGCTTCTGCCTTATCTCCAACCTGAACTTCCCCTGTTTCAGTCTGAACCCATCACCCCTTGTCCTGTCACTGCAGTCCCTGATGAAGAGTCCCTCTCCAGCATCCCTGTAGGCTCCCCTCAGACACTGGAAGCTGCTCTGAGGTCTCCATACAGCTTCTCTCCTCCAGCCCCAGCTTTCTCAGCCTGGTCCCTTGGGCATCCCCAAGGAGAAACATTTCTAAATCGAGTTAAAGCCAAGGATTACATGGGAAGGGGTCAGCAGCTCCTCCTCCAGAACCAGGGGCTCTGGGGAGAGGGCTGAGAGCAAAGCAGAGGAGCAGTGGGTAGGGGTGGTGGGTGGCCAGAACTACTTGTGTGATGTCTCCTTCTGAAAGAGGGGGATTTGGGGGCTATAAAGGGTTGATTATTGCAGTTCATGGGAGAAAACTCACACTTTCTTCTTTTCTCCTCAATTTTCTCCTTTCCCCCCCTATTTCTGCCTGTTCCAAAGTATCTAATGCTCCCAGCAAGTACCTGCATTCCAAGCTCCTGGTTTTATTGCTGGGTACCTCAGTGGTTACAAAGGCATTTGCTGAATAGGAAGAGATGGTGTTTGCAAACAAGTAGGGGGAAAGTTGGGGAACTAAGCCCCCCCCTGCTGCTGTGGGAGCAGTGCTGTTAACCCTGGCTGGCCCAGGGCAGAGCTCAGGGAGAGCAGAGCAGGCACAGACAGGGTTTGGGGTGATTCAGGTGTTTTCAGCCACCTCTCTTTGATCACGTTTGATGTCTGACCCATTTCAAGGTGTCTTTGCCTACCTTCTGCCCTCTGTGAGGTCTCTGGTGAGCCTGACCTGCTGCCCACCCCTGTTTTACAGACATCGATGAGTGTGCTCTGTCCCTGGACAACTGCACGAGGGGAACAACCTGCATCAACACTGGGGGGGGCTTCCAGTGTGTGAACCCCCAGTGCCCCCCGCCCACCGGCAACGTCACCTATGTCAAGACATCACCCTTGTGAGTGCAGTAGGGTGCAAAGCCTGGTCCTGCTTTCATAGAATCCCAGCCTGGTTTGTGTTGGAAGGGGCCTTAAAGCTCCTCCAGCTCCAACGCCTGCCATGGGCGGGGACCCCTTCCACTGGAGCAGCTTGCTCCAAGCCCCTGTGTCCAACCTGGCCTTGAGCACTGCCAGGGATGGGGCAGCCACAGCTTCTCTGGGCACCCTGTGCCAGCGCCTCAGCACCCTCACAGGGAAGAGCTTCTGCCTAAGAGCTCAGCTCAGTCTCCCCTCGGGCAGGTTCAAGCCATTCCCCTTGGCCTGTCCCTACAGGCCCTTGTCCCAAGCCCCTCTCCAGCTTTCCTGCAGCCCCTTTAGGCACTGGAGCTGCTCTCAGGTCTCCCCTTCAGGAGCCTTCTCTTCTCCAGGCTGCCCCAGCCCAGCTCTCTCAGCCTGGCTCCAGAGCAGAGCTGCTCCAGCCCTCGCAGCATCTCCATGGCCTCCTCTGGCCTCGCTCCAACAGCTCCACGTCCCTCTTGTGCTGCTGCCCCAGAGCTGGGGTGCTGGGTTCTAAAAACACATGTAGCATCCCCATAGGTACAACATGGACCCAGCATCCCTGGTGCTCCCAGAATACCTCCCTCTGTCTTTCCCTTTGCAGCCAGTGCGAGCGCAACCCCTGCCCGATGGAGAGCCGCTCGTGCCACCAAGCCCCCAAGACCATCTCCTTCCACTACCTTCCATTGCCATCCAAGCTGCTGACTCCCACCCCGCTGTTCCGCATGGCCACGGCAGCAGCTCCCGGCCGGCCGGGCCCCGACAGCCTCCGCTTCGGCATCGCGGGTGGCAACAACCGCGGGCACTTTGTGATGCAGCGCTCGGACCGGCACACCGGGGAGCTCATCCTGGTGCAGAGCCTCCAGGGCCCCCAGACCATCCAGGTGGATGTGGACATGTCCGAGTACCTGGACCGTGTCTTCCAGGCCAAGCACGTGTCCAGAATCACCATCTTCGTGTCTGCCTATGAGTTTTAGGGGAGGTGGCAGCCGGGGTGGTCCCTGCTCAGCATCCTCCGCACGGAAGCGCCAGCCCTGGAGGCGGGTGTCTCACAGGAGCTCCAGGTGACATCCCATAGCAAAGCCTCTCTGCATCCTCCCCTCTGCATTGAGGTTATTCTTTGGCACCACCTATATTGGGGGGAAAAGAGGGAAATGAGGTGCAGAAGGAATCAGGTGCAGGTTACCCGCTCATTGGAGTGGGAGCAGAGCATCAGCCGCACCTGAAGCTCCACAAGGACAATGTCCCACAGCCTCACTGCCTGCACAGCACAGAAAGCAGTGCATAGAAACCACAGCCCTCATTGCCTTTTAATTCTTTTCTTTCATAGGAAATAAGTTAAAGTGGTGCATGCAGGAGGAGGGAGGCTCATAGCAGGTACTGCTCTCCCCCCCGCTGGCTCGGGCTTGCGTGCACTGACCCCAATCTTGTTAAAACATAGAGGCATGGTTTGGGTTGGAAAGGACCTTAAAGCTCCTCCAGTTCCAACCCCTGCCAAAGGCAAGGACACCTTCCGCTAGAGCAGCTTGCTCCAAGACCCAGCCTCTGCTCCCCTTTGGATGAGGAAACCCATGGCAGCCTGCATAGAGGGGGCTGGTCTGGGGTTCCAATCCCATGGGATTGACCGGGACTGGAAAAATCCATGAATCCATGAATGAATCCATGCTCGAGGGAGCTGGAGATGTGAGTGTTTCATTTATCCATCAGGCACAGCCTCACCCCGTTGTGTGTACACAGCAATGGGGATAGCGGGGGTTTGGCTGGAAACCATGCCAGGGGGAGGGACACGCACACGGACCCCCCTCCCTGGCCTGGCTCTCTTCCCCCCGGGACCTTGGTGCTTGTCCATGTTAACCACAACCCCTGCCCAACGTTATGCATGTTCTCTGTTACGCTGGTTTAGTACCATGATATAACCTCTGAGCAGAATAAAGTACCCAAAGCACGTGTGGATGGGGGTGATGCTCACCTGGAGCTGCCTGGGGGGGGACTCGGGGTCTGTGGGGTAAGAACTTGCCTCTGTCAGGTTTATCTTTCTGCCTTATGTTGCCCCAAAAATGCAATGGGGCAGAATTTCCTTGGGATTTGATGCTGCTTCCACTAAATCCTTCCCACTCCTTGCCCCAGTGATTCCAATCTGTGCTGCATCCATTGGGGGATGGAGCTCATGGGGTTTTTTTTTGGGGGGGAATACAGCTTTTCCATGGAGCTCTGGAGGGGGGCAGGACCTTTCCCCGCAGAACAAGGGGGGACATTCAGTGCGTGCTCCTCAGCACAGGGCTGCTGGATCCCGATCCCGGCGGATGGAGGATGTTTGGGTTGGCGGCTGCTCCGGTGGGATGGTGGAGCTGGGCAGGGAAAATGCATCCGAGGCTTGTGCTGGGGGAGGGAGATGAAAACCCAACAGGAAGCTTAGAGGAGAACCCAAACATGGGAATTAATGCTCTTCTGAGAGTGGAGCTGCTCCCAGAGCAGGGAGTGGTGGAGCAGCAGGACCTGGGAGCTGCCACCTTCATCTGGGGGTGGTGGAGACCCAAGGCAGGACAAAGACCAGGAGGAGCATCGGGAAAGAAGGGAATGGCTGGGTGCTATCTCCTTCAAAGTGGGCTGAGATGTCCTCTTTTCTCATCTCCTCCCCTAAGGTGGGAGAATCCCTTTGTCCTACCGAGGACACCCCTTCAATCCTGGGGTGATGGAGGGGCTGTCCCCATGCAGATGGCATCAGGATGGGGAAGGAGGCAGCTTTTTGGCTCTGCCCTGGGTTTATTTCCCTTGCTGTGATCAGAGGATAGTGCTGGGCACCACCGCAGGAGGGACAGGGAACGGGTAGGACACACCACTGCGCTGCTCTGCTGTGTACCTGCGTCCTGGGATGCCTCGAGAACAGGCGATGAGGTTTTCCTTGGAGCTATGTCCTTGGAGCTACCCAGACTCCAGCCAAGTCATGTTCCATCCAGGAAAGGCAGCAGTTATCCTCATGAACCCGGCCCGGCACGTGGTCTGAATTAGCCTTTGATAAAAGCAGTTCTGTGGGACACGTCCTCACACAGCACCGACACCGCTGCTAGGACACAGAAGCCGGAGCAGGAAAGGAGCTGAAAGGAAAAGCAATGTTTTATTGGACTATTTCTTTAGGAGAAGATGGACAGGATGCTTTGGGAAAGGACACAGTTAGGAGGAAGAAGGCTGCAGAGTGGGCAGCCCAGTGCGTGTGGTTGGCCAGAGTGGCTCCAGTTGCCCAGCCTGGTTGGACGTGCTTCTGTCACTGTGATACAGGGATGATAAAGGAAAACCTGCACGTGGGGATGTGCTCCTCCAGAGGAGGGCTGGGCCATGCCAGAGCAGCTCCTGGTGCCTCCATCACCCGCTCCTGGCTGTGGTACAGGGTGAAGCCGTGTTTCATCATCCCTGCGCTTGCCAGGCGCTGGGAGCCAAACCCAGGAGCCTGTCAGAGGAGCAGTTCCTGATGGGCAGAATAGTTTCCATGTGATGCTTTCCCCAGCTAATGAGGCTGGAGCCGGGCGCCTGGAGCTCCGCACCGGAGGCTCTTCCTCCCAGCACAGCGTTTCCCCAGCTCCCGAGGCCAGGGTGAACTGGTTTCCCCTCTCCGGCCGGGCTGGAACATGCTCCCAGCCGCATCCTGCTGGCCTGGAGAGCCAGGCCTGGGGCCGGGCAGCTCGGCTGTCTCCTGGCTGCACAGCTCCTGCTCAGCCCCACAAACGTTTAAGGTCGGCTCTGCAGTGTCTGGCCGGGGCTGCAAACCTCCGGCCAGCGTCTGAGCTGACTCAAGAGGTTTTGTTCCCCTCCCAGAGCAGCCACTCTGGCATCCTGCACGCTTCCTGAGCCTGGAATGTGCAGAGAGAGGCTCTTCTGGCCCTGGGAAATACAACTGCTCTTTGGGATGAGCCTTTGAATTTTCAAGGTTTGGGGGGAAGCGCTCCCTCTCCTCTTCACCCCATGGAGGGAGATGAGTCCCAAGCTCAGGGCAGGAGGTGACCATGGCTTCATGTCCTGTTTTCTCCTCCTCATCATCATCCTCCTTCCAAAATACACTCCTGGTGGGCCTTTCCCTGCTGGGCATCCAAAGTCCTGAGCTTCTCTTGCCCTTCAGCCTGATGAGATTAAGATGAGTGTGACCAGCAGTTCGAGGGAGGGGATCCTGCCCCTCTGCTCTGCTCTGGTCAGACCTCACTTGCAGCCCTGTGTGCAGTGCTGGAGTCCTCAACGTGAGGACATGGAGCTGTTGGAGCAAGTCCAGAGGAGGCCACGAGGATGCTCAGGGGCTGCAGCACCTCCTGTATGGAGCCAGGCTGAGAACATTGGGGCTGCTCAGCCTGGAGAAGAGAAGCTGTGTGGAGACCTCAGAGCAGCTTCCAGTGTCTGAAGGGGGCCTATAGGGATGCTGGGGAGGGACTCTTCATTAGGGCCTGTAGTGACAGGACAAGGGGTAATGGGCTCAGACTGAAACAGGGGAAGCTCAGGTCAGATCTAAGGCAGCAGCTCTTCCCTGTGAGGGTGCTGAGGCGCTGGCACAGGGTGCCCAGAGAAGCTGTGGCTGCCCCATCCCTGGCAGTGCTCAAGGCCAGGTTGGACACAGGGGCTTGGAGCAAGCTGCTCCAGTGGAAGGGGTCCCTGCCTGTGGCAAGGCTTGGAGCTGGAGGAGCTTTAAGGTCCCTTCAACCCAAACCAATCTGGGGTTCTATGGTTCTGAGATACATCCCTGCAAGCAGAATGATAATTCTCTTTCCTGCATAAGGCTGCAGGTTAAAATCTGAGTTTTATTGCCCCGAGAAGCCAAAACACTCATTAATCCCATTATGGGCTTGGATGAAGAGCTGAATCACAGCTCTATTTGTTATGGTTGCTAGGTATGTTGCTACATCCCCTGATCCTAATGTATCTGTGATGTCCTGGTGTGGACATCAGGGAATTGGGTTAGCTGCTGTTGCCAAATTCAGCTGTATTTTGGGGGAAAGAAGAAAAGAGCCATTGAGGAGCTTCCCAAGAGGGTAACTTCCTCCCTGACAACACAAGCACATGGAGGGATATTGAAGCAAACAGCTACACACTGCTCCTGCAGGCACGGTTTTGGTTAAAACCAGTGAATCCCAGACTGGTTTGGGTTGGAAGGGACACATAGTTCATCTAATTGCACTCCCCAAGCCATGAGCAGGGAATACCATGGATGTTGCACCTGCACATGCTGCAAGAAACCAGGAGCCAGCTTTTAGTCCATATTTAAACCACCTTTTTTCCAGCCCTCCCATTGTCCAGGGAGATGCTGCTGAGCCCTGTGGGTGCTGGCTCCACACATGACACTGAGCTGGGGTTAATTAGTTATAATTAGCCCTAATGACCCTCAGTGGCCCACCTGAGGCATCACCTACACCACTCCCCTGCTCTCCAGGGCCCTGTTTCAGCCCCTAAGCCACAGAAGAATGGTTTTAATGCTTGAGTTGGTTTCCTGGTTTGACTTTGACCTCTCATCTCCATGAGCTGTGTGTGATGAGATGGACCCTTGGCTGAAGCTGCCCTGCTCACCTTGCTCAGGTACCAGCCTGGTGTGTGAGACACTGGAGATGGCTCCTTCCTCACGGATGCGAGGCTGCAATTTGCCTCTGAGAGGGGAAAAACATCCCTCCCAAAAGGGAACCGATGTGGGTGTTCTGTCTTCTTTATTTTCTGCTAGGATTGCTGGCACTGGAAAAACAGAGTCATATGTCCCAAAAAGCCCTGTTAGCCAAGGAGACCGGCCTGTAAAGGAAAATAAGTTGATGTAACTTGGGATTCGTCCAGAAAGTTTTGACAAAGTCCCTCAAAAGACAATATTGAGGGGAAAACTGGTTGGAGAACAACAAACAAGCTCCTCCTGGGGGCTGTGAAGTGCTGAGAGTCAGCAGAGCTGGAGCAGGGATGCACATCCAGCTCCAGCCATGGCAGGTGGGATATCTCCAGCCGGGGGTGCTGGGAACACACACATAAGGGTTATGGAAGAAAAGATGAGCAATGAGTGACAACATCTGCAGCTGATGCTGAGCGGGGCAGGAGCATCCCGAGATGGGGATGAATGTGGAGATGTGGGGCTGCAGAGGAGCATGAGGAGTTCACCACCAGTGTGCAGCAACACATGGAGAGCTGCTGCTTGTCTTACTGGATCATGGAGGACGTAGAATTCCAGACTGGTTTGTATTGGAAGGGAGCTTGAAGCTCATCCAGCCACGGGCAGGGACACCTTCACTAGAGCAGGTAGCTCCAAGCCCCTGTGTCCAACCTGGCCTTGTGTTCATCATTACTGGCTTCCATAATGCTCTTCAGCATTCCATGTCTAACAGAGGCAGCTCCATTCACCGACCTGATGGCTGCCTCCAACTGCCTGACAGGAGGATGGAGCCAGGAGGGGCTGGGCTCTGCTCCCAAGGAACAAGGGATGGGACAAGAGGAACCGGCCTCAAGCTGCACCAGGGCAGGTTTAGATGGAGCTGAGGAACAATTCCTGCCCCAGAGGGTGCTCAGGCATTGGAACAGGCTGCCCAGGGCAGGGCTGCAGGCACCGGCCCTGCAAGTGTTCACACCCCGTGGAGACGAGGCCTCAGTGCCATGGGTTAGGGGTGGCCTTGGCAGTGCTGGGCAATGGTTGGACTGGATGAGCTTAAAGGGCTTTTCCACCCTGTTGGATTCTGTGAGTCTATTAAGGATTTATTAATGAGTTTCTAACGGGCTGCCCAAGCCCTGTTAATGAACCCCGCTCACCGAGGCGCTGCTCACAAACACCCCTCACCCGCACAGCCTGGCACAGGATCTCGCCTCCCAACCTCTTTAACGCCGGCTTTTACCGCTCCCTGACCCCTGCCACAGCCGCCCTGCCATGGCCACCGCTGCCAACCACCGGGACTCGTTGCCGTGACCGCCGCTCCCCGCCTGAGGGCGGCCGGGAGCCCGCTCCCC